GCGCGAATTACGCTTAATTAAACATTTCGACCAAGGCGAAATGACGGGCTCCGCCACATTGTCAGAACTTATTGAAAAACGACGTCAAACAAGCAATGGCAAAGGGAAAATGTTATTCACGCTTAAAAAATTTATATACAATTAATAGCGCTAAATTCACCGGACGTAGGAAAAGCGTTCAAAATCCGATTTGAATGAAATGAAGTCGAAATAAGAAGCAAAAGAGAATGAAAACAATGTAAACATATTTTCTGTTTTTCGATGTTGAGATTTGCTCAAGTTAAGGTTGCTTTTGAATGGACTTTTATTACACGACTGCATGCATATGAACTAGAGACGACGACAGCGTGTAACAATGAACTTAACTTATTTTACATTCGACTTTGGATGAATGAAAGCACAAAGTCGACGTGTTAAAGAATCAAGAACATAACAAGATTATACGGCTCTTATGAGTAATATTTTCGCAAATTAAGCACTTGTCAAACGAATGACGGAATGAATCAAATGATTCTCAGAATTTAAATTCTCTGTCTCCCACTCCTTAACGTCATTTGACGTGGTGCCAGCAGAAGCATGCCATGTTTCACTTTTCGTTCAAAAGTGGAAATTCAAAATCGTTGTCATGTGCTCGTTATAAGAAAGTGAGCCCCCTTTTCGGAAAAACGACTCTATCGAAAACGCGCGCGTGTGTGTGTGTGTGTGTGTGTGTGAGTAAATGAGAACTAGAGAGCGCCAGAGGGAGAGCGAAATAGAGAACTGGACACATCGTCAGAGGAAGTATTTAAGCAGCGGGAATTTCGGTGAATTGGAAGCAATTTACAGTGAATGGGTGAAAGATCATAAGGATTGTAAAGATGAATGAACCACCCTCATGCTAAACGATATCATGTTGCTGATTGATTGGAGCCGGAGTGAGCACAGTGCAAATAAATAACATTGTACGTGAGAGATACATGATTGCATTTCAACGAATGATCGTGTGGTTGGCCATCCCGAACGTTTGTTCAAAATTTAATAATTATAGGTTTGCAAGCAGGACATCATCCCCTTTTGTTTTCGATTCAACATGTCTCTGATTTTAACATGCACGATACAGTATATTTATTCCCCATGTCACACATTTTTATTTGTGCAACGCATCTATTATCCCCTTTCGGCCGTACTGGGGATGAACCGGATAGAGTCGTATATTTTTTGCACAGAGAGCAAATTGAAACAAAAAAAAACCAACAAATTGCATTTGTTACATCACAAATGGATGTTAACGAAGAGAGACAGTGGCAATGGCAAAATTGCCCAAGCGATCGTAATCATCGATTGATGGGCTCGAAATTCAATTTAATTTCTCATTTTCGTTTGGCCGGTATCCAATGTCCGATTGATTATACACGTACACAAAAAAGCTCAAACATACGCTCACTCTCTCTCTCTCTCTCTCACACACACAAACACACACACATATGTGAGTGCACTGAGACTCGAACAAATTTAAACAGTCTAATGAATATTTTAATAAACCGTTAATCGAAACCGAAGGAGAACAATGAAACCGAATGGAAAAAAGGATGATCGAAAACATCGAGAACTGGCATTTGCGAATGGTTGTGAAATTGAATAAATTATTTAGTGTATGTTGACCGGTCAAACATGACACATATGACTGAATGGGCATGTCCACATGAACACAAAAGTGACAGGAATCCGGCAATGACAGACATCAGCAATACAGTAGTCGTGTGGCCCCGATTTTAAAATAGTGCATTAGAAGTTAAAGCAAGTTTTTGGGGTCGGGCTGTGGAGTGCAAAACAAGAAATCAGCATTTGACACACACACACACATACACCGACACGCCAACAGCAACAACAAGAAAACACAAATTTGAGGATATGATAATAATGGGAACATGCAAAACGAATGACGCACAAATTGTGCACAAAATTGCATTAAACATGTGCAACGCATAAATGTCGACAGTACCATGATATAAAGTTGTTTGAAACGCAATTAACATTATTATTACAGCTATAAATTTATTATTATTGGGTCTGGGAATTAGTTTTGTCGATTTTTTTAAATTTTCAAACATTTATTTGAATACCAAAATGAAATTACATTTCAATCAAAATATTGTCCATCGGAAGCGATGACCTTCTGCCACAATGTGGGCAATTGACGGATGCCTGCCTTAAAAAATTCCTCATCTTTTGAGGCTATAAATGCATCGAGCCAATTTTGGATTTCTTCAACTGAAGAGAACCGCTCTCCGTCCATATGGTTTTGCATCGATCGAAACAAATGGTAGTCGGAAGGAGCCAGGTCTGGGCTATACGGGGCGTGAGCCAAAACTTCCCATCCGCTATTTTCCAAGTAGTTTTTGACCGATTTCTCAATGTGTGGCCGAGCATTGTCATGTAGGAAAATCAATGTCTCTTTTCTGGTCTCCCATTTCGTGCGTTTTTCTTTGATTGCTTGTTTCAAACGTATCAATTGTTGTCGGTAGAAAGGCCCATCGATGGTTTGACCACTTCTCAGCAGCTCATAATACACCACTCCCTCCTCATCCCACCAAATAGACAGCATTACCTTGTCGCCGTGAATTTCTTGTTTTGGCTGTGATGTTGCTGGTTGGCCGGGCTTAACATACGATGCTTTGCGCTTGGGGTTATCGTAATGAATCCATTTTTCGTCACCAGTGACAATTCGATACAGAAAACCTCTTTTTTTGTGCCTTGCGAGCAGCATTTCGCAAGTCACTAAACGCCTTTCAGCTTGCGCTGGCGTCAATTCATGTGGTACCCAATTTGACAACTTGCGAATGAAACCAAGGGCCCTTAAACGATATCCAACAGTGCTTCGGTCAACATTCAATGCTCTGACAAGCTCATCTTGAGTTTGACTCGAATCTTCATCGAGCAATGCCTCCAATTCCGCATCTTCAAACTTTTTTGGCTGGCCGGGACGTTCCTTGTCTTCCGTGCTAAAATCACCACTTTTGAACCGTGAAAACCACCGTTCACATGTACGTTCCGATGGAGCATGCTCACCATAGGCTTCCACCAACATTCGATGCGCTTCAGCCGCAGTTTTCTTCAAATGAAAGCAAAAAATTAATGCTTGCGGGAAATGTTGCTTTTTCGGTACAAAATTTGACATATTTAAGGCGCAAAAAAAAATGTTTATCCAAACTTCGATGAAATGATAGATGATGATTTTTGTAGTTTGACACTAGACCACTCATGTGAAAAAGAAAAAAGTATTGCCCGATACAACCATGCAAAGTTACGCCATCTTTTGAAAAATCGACACGATTAATTCCCAGACCCAATATTTCTGAATGAAATATTTCTCTTGGGTTCTTTAGACTAATACTATGTGGTGAAATTGCATTTGACTAGAGAAAGTCGTGTTACGATACATTTTTGATACATTGCACCAAACTCTCGACTGCATTGCACATTCGGCAACACGTTCGATGTGTGACGATGACTATGATGATGATGGTGGTGGTGGTGGTGGTGGTGGTGATGTTGAAAGCACACATGAGCCAATGTGTCACCATCAGCAAATTTGACATATTGATTATAATTTATACGAAATTGCAATGTCTTTGTACGCATTTGCATTGCCTTCTGTACATGAGTGGCGGTGCTGAGGCAAAACAATGACGATTAAAATTTATGCATCAATTCACGGCAATATCCCTTAAAGCCATTTAAACAACACGACAAAACAATTCCATTGAGAGAGTGAGAGAGAGAGAGAGAGTTTTCATCGTCCGGAAGTGTTATAACAAGAAAAACGCAAAACTTTGGTTTTTCCAAAAGGGAAAAAGAGCCAACGATTGTGTGCACTATAACCATTTGCATATCGAAATTATCATATTAATCGTAAAGTGATTTGCATAAACGGAGCATTTTCATCATTGAAAATATTCTGTGCTAAACTCTTTGTGAGCAACTTTTTAACTTGTGCATTTAATTAACGATGAATTCCATGCAAAAATGGTGAATATCATATCACACAAGCGACCCCATCCGCCTCCAAAACCCAAGTTTACAATATTTTCTCGTGATGAATTCTTTATGGGATCCACTTTGCGATATGCAAATGGCATCCATGGAACACCAAAAGATGCATATTGTATGAATTCATATATGCGGTTGAATTCTCGAAACAACAGCGCATTTCACTCAGAAAATGCACCGAAGTTCTACTGATTTTGGCCAAAGTTGAAGTTTTCAAGTTTTTATTCATTCCAATTTACAATGGGTTTATCATTTGTCGCTTTATTAATTGGTTTCTGTTTATGAATTTGAAGTTATTCCTTTTTTGCAGTGTCACTTTTTCTTTATCTCTTTGTCTGTTTCTCTCTCATTCTCCCTCTCCCTCTCTTGTGACATTACCAAAATTCGTTTTTGCATATTGGGCGAGCTGAGATTTTGGTTGGCGGTATTCCGGTTGGCGGTAGAACATAACAATTTAAATAGGAATTAGATAGTGATTTTTATCTCTGGGGATGTTTCTATTAAACCGTGAAATAAGCGCATGATTTTTGATGACATGAATTTTATTCGAATTAACATAAAATGGCTATTGTTTAGCCAGAAAACTGCATCGAACTGGTGAATACGAACAATTGTTTTTGAATTTTTTTTTTCTGTTGGTGTCGTTTGGTTTTTAGTTCGGCGATAGATTTTGAATGAATGCCAATTTGTTGTGAATAATAATTTGTTGTTTTACGATTGTGAATGCAATTTTTCTGGGCTCATTCCAATTTCCGTTCCATTTCGAAAACAGGTTTTATGGATATTGTGAGGGTTGAATTTGTATCAATAGTACATGAGCGAAACATGCACATTTTCGCGCCAAATTTCGGTTTCGATTAATTTCAAATACATACAATGCATTAAAATTATTCGAGCGTATTTTGTTTGACGGTTATTTATTGAAATCTGTTGACCTTTTCTTGTTTTTTTTCTTCTTCTCTCAATTGCAGATTGGTCGGGCGCAAATGATCATGAACGAGTTCAACGACAGTTATCCGTGTCATCAGATAGTAAGCTATTGGATGAGGATATACGTGAAGAGACCCGCGTTATAATGCGACCTAAAAAACCACCGAGACCAAAATCCGAAGTATTTTTAAATAAACAGGACCTGCATCCGCGACGAAAGCGGTTTAGTGCATTTGGTGTAAGTATACTCCCATACAGTTCATATATTCTAGAGAAGAAGAAGAAACAAAAACCAAAACCAAAACCAATTCGAACGACAACAATCCAAATGTTGTCAATGTGTGCGTGCGCTCGTGCATGCTCTGACTTCTCTGTCATTTAAACTTTCAACAAAGTAGTCAATTATTCGTCAACTATGAAAATATGAAGTTACTTGAACAAAGTTATTCATTCAAATTAGCACATTGCAAAACGATATCAAAAAGTTGAAGCGAATCGTGATCGTGTGTTCGTGTTAGTACGCACCGGGATGGGTCGCATGAGTCAGGTGATGAATGGCATTTAGTGAGGCGACAGTTTGAAATCTGTTATGCAAAATGTTGATTGAAACGCGTTCGCATTCGCGAATAATGTGATGCCCGCCAACAGCAAGTAACAGCAAAACAATGCCAAACAGAACTGCTTGCATCGATGCCAACAGCAATGTTGCGTCACATACACACATCACGAGCACATACAAACAATAAACATATTTAGTGCATCATTAATAACTTTTCTCCGAGAAGGAAAACAATTTTCGTGTGTTAATTGACTGCTGTTTCCGCTTGAGGAAAAGAAGAAAATAAGGAACTTTTATTTATTGCCAACTTAACTATGGGCTTTCCTTTCGTTCCAATTTCTCTGTTGTTGTGGATGTTGCCATGCCAAGGAATTAGCACAATTTTTCCATTTCACTGTGTTTTTCTGTCATGTTTGCTCGTCTCCCGATCTTTTTTCGTTTTCTTATGGTTTTTGCCGAGCTCGTCTTTATCGTTGTCGTCATCGTCATGTTTTTTTTAATTAAAACTTCGAGTAAAAAATAACGAAGAGCAAAAAAGAAAACACAATATTTTAATTTGATGAAAATGCTGTGCATTCACTCTTTTTGTTGTTTGACGAGAGAGCAAAAGAAGAAAGTTTCCAACGTTTCTTTGGCCGCTAAAGCTCGACTGTAATTTTTTTGTTTCGTTCTCTAAGAGTTTATTTGTGGTGGCGTTTCTTTTCCCCTTGATTTATTTGATTTGTCGGGTTCTTTTCAATTTTTCAAGATATGGATATAAACACTTTGCCGGCTTCAATATCATCTTTTCAGAAGCCCTCAAATGACGGGGTTTCGACATTATTCAGCATTTATAACTCATTTATACGGTATCATGGCAATTCAAAACGCACCGAGAAGAAAAAAAAACATTCCTTTCAGCATCGTCAATTCATTCATTCGGTTCCATTATCATGTAAATGAAACAGGCAAAATGTAATTTATCGAAGAGAAAAAGAGGCGAAAAAAGCTTGAGTCGATGACCACGAAAGCATCTCATAATTTGGGATACAAGGTTTGCATCATCCGAATTCCTTTCGGCAACGTCATCCAGCGCTGGCTTCTTTTGCTCCGCTCTATTGTTCGAAATAAAAAGAATTTGCAGCAAAAGAAAAATGTGAAATGATTGTCGTATTCGGATACGTAACAATCGAGTCGAATCACTTTTGGAATCAAAAATGCCATAAGCAACATCTTCGTAATGTGATTGTTGAAGTATCCTCTGTTTTTTTTCCCCTCTCTTTATCATTCAACTAATGTCTCGTCATTCAAGGAGGACCTGCGTAACAGTGGAAGAAAAAGCGAAGCTCGGCAACAAAAATGTCAGCTTATTTTAATAGTATTATTACGAAGAGTGAACGTTGCTGGAGTGTTGCAATGTATGCGAAACAAATGATACTAAATAACTCTATTTGAGTAGATCATTTACCCGATGAGTTTTTTTCCCCTTCTGTTTCATTCTTCTCTCCCGTCCGTTTTCTTTCCGTCGCCCCGTTCCGTTATCATGCAACTCGCATTTGGTCGATTGTACTATAATACTACAGGTAGAATATATTCACTTGTTTTCCCATTCGTATTGTTTAGTAGAGACGAAGAAAAAAAGCAACAACATCCAAGCTATTACCATCCTGTTCAGTTTACATCATTCGGCTGCTGTCTATGTCATCTTTAATAGCTCTTAGTTACCTGATAATAGAAAAAAGAAAGAAGCGGTGGCGGAGGCAGCACCAGAAAATGAAGATAATAGAAGTTGATAGTACATGCATAAACATGAATATAAATATTTACACTGACACACATGATTTCGTTGTTCATCCATCGTCGTGGCGGCGACGGCGACGGCGACGGTGTTGAAATTGGAAAAGTAGGGCACCGCCGAAAGAAGGGAGCACTGAAAAAAAAAACGGTGTGCGTATCGCTTGCACGCGAAAGAATAAGTCACAAAGAAATCGTGTTATCATAAATTGTTGTTCATCTTCCATTGGTTATCCATTCCAACGCATTGCGTTCCGTTGAACATCCGTTCAGGATCTCACTCCCGCCGCACAGCCTCGCTTTTTCATGCATTTGCCGCGGCTCAAATTTTCACATACATACTCAAGTACAACCAAACAAAATGCTAAATAAATATATGAGTATCAAAAGTTACGTGCCTTTTTTTCATTCTATTCGTTTCGTGATTCCCCCCAACTGTGCCGAACAAAATCGTGCAAACGAAGAAGATAAATCTTAAATAAGTCTTACGCTCTCTCTCTCTCTCCCTTCCTCTTTTGATCTGCCATTAAGTAATACCAGGCACATCCACACATGCACGGCCCAAAAGCGATAGAGATTATAACAACAAGAATGATGGCGTCTGGAACAACAATTGAAAATAAAAATACACACAACAATGTTAGATTATCAATCGAGCGATTGGAATTTATCCGGATTACATGCACGAATGCCACTGGATTTTCGATACCACTTGTGTCTCCGCATTTTCCATAAATTGTTTCGAATCGATTATCGTCTCATCTACGTCTCGATTATTTTGTTTATTTCCCTTTTGATTTGTTCACTAATGTATTTTAATTCATACTGTATCCACTTGCATACGCGTTGCCAATGTATGGTGTGCCTATGACCAGACCGCAATTTTCGTTTCATTTTGCATGCCGTAAGAAACATTTTAATTTAAAAAGAAAAGAAAATGAAGAAGCAGCGGCAGTGGCGGCGGCGGCAGCAGCGGCAAGATAAATCGAAAACGAAACACCGAAATGAAATTAGATGTCGACGCGTCAATCAGTTTTCTCTTACCGTGTACGCTCATACGACATTGCTTTTTATGAACAGCACAAATTGAATCATTTGAATACATAAATGCACACGCAAGCAAGCATACCCATTTACGTCCCCCGCACTCGGGAACCAACATGTGAAAAGTGAAATGGAAAGCATAGTAGTAGCAGCATACATGAATTGAGGAGACGAAATTTTTTTTTATTGTAATTTAAGCATTTCGAATCGCATATATTCTACTTAGAATTTAGAACGGTGCACGCTACCGACTCATATTAGATAAAATCATAACAAAAATGTAAATGAAATACACAATTCTTGTTCGCATAATGCTTTCCATTTCGTTGGTTCGCCGTGCACCGTTAGATAATTGTGGCAAAGGTATGATATTTGTGCGTATATGTTGTGACATAGCATGGTACCTCGTTTTGTGACTCACTTTTCGTCCGCCAAATGTTTCTTTTGCTCTTTTATTTATCGCTAAACAAGAAAGCAAATGCCTGTTCTGAATATGATTTTAATAATTTTCTACTTACCAGCAGGCATTTTGAGGTACGAGTTGTTATTGTTGTTGTTGTTGTCCTGCGTGTCTCCAACTCTTTTGCTCCTTCGAATGTTGCGTGTGTCGTAGAAGTATTGAGATTGTTTTGTGCGTTGGTGATTTTTCCGTTTCCCATGTCTAAATTTGGCCTCGACGAGACACACACCAGCCAACCTAGCAACACAACATTTCGATTGAAGCACAAGGCTTAATGATGTTACACCCCCAAAGAACAAGAGTGTTTTTTTTTTGGGTATATGTGTGCGTTTCGCCCCGAAAAACTTTACGGTATACTTACGCAAAGCCAAGTTGTCTGGGTCCAAATGGTTCAGCTTACACGGGCTTTTTTGCACGCTGGTAAAATTTTATTCAATTTTTCTCTGTGTGTCGTCGTCGTCGTCGTTTTTGTTGTTGTTGGCATTCATTCACACGCGGAGGATGAGAAATGGGATTCATGTCGGTGACAGAGATTTAGTTAAAACGAAAAATGTTCAAGTTATTTGCGAAATTAATTACAAACAGAGCAGAGATTCGTAGCGACAACACAACATCCTAAAATTCGTATATTTGCTTCAGCACTTACTGCTACCGTTCGGCATCTTGACTTGAAAGCGACACAAGTGAGCCAATGTGGTGGTGGAAGTAAGGAAATTTAATGTTTTAAGCTTTGCAAACAGACGTTATACTAAATAATTCTTATTAATCATTATTTTATAATCGATTCCGCTCGGTTAGGCAAATATGTCGTTGTTTTCGCTCAAGCCAATCGGGAGACGCATAACTATTTCGTCGAGGAAATTATTATCCATATTAATGCATAACGATACGATGCGAAATATTCCCGTACGACATCGGGGATGGATCGAAACATATTAAATTCCGGAAAATAATTGAAAAAGTAATCAATTGAGGCCGAAACGAGATTTGGCCGAAATTTCTGTTTTTTTTTCGGTCCCATCCGAAATGCGTGCAGCCCATCAGGAAGTATAATTGTCAAAAGAAACATTTTCATAGAGATGGTAGAGAAAAAAATGAAGGGAGATGCTCTCATTTCGAAATGTCTTTCTGCCTTGCTGCCGTTCAGCTAGTTCCCTTATTCTTTTTTTTCTCTTCATCTCCCTCCGAAATCTTAGTCCCTCGATTCCATTCAATTAATGTTCACGTGTTTCAAATGGAATGCAATCCTTATCATGGCCATACAATAATGTTCTGGGCCAGAAATGATTGCGAAATAAAAACCCTTTCATCGAACTTTTTATTCCGTCTTTTTATGCGTACTCTCTTTTTTATTTCTTCCCATTTTCACACTCCCAAGTGTGTTTTGTGTGTGGAACTTTTC